TGTCCCATAAAATTAAAGAACAGATTGTGGCAAAAAAGAAAAATAAAACAGTATTTTAGTTTTCTGGTTGCTAGGGCCATAGATGGCGAGAATTTTATGACTACTTCCCAAAGCTTATATTCTGAAAGAAGGTTCATTTTTAATATAGAAATAATAAAAATGTAGGTGGCCTCAACAGCTGTAATTTTTATAAATTACAGAGATGCCTTCTGCCAACATTTGAAATTGGCATTCTGCACAGCCAAAAACTCTGATCTTCACTGTTATCTAATTTGGGATTTTAGCTACTATTTCCAGGCTATTAACCTCCACATCTGGACTCCCAGTGACCCCACATCAGGATGCCACAGCTGCTTCAGTATTGATCAGTGGCATGCTCTTCCCTAACAGGTGATAAATTTATTAGAAACCATCCGGGCTGCCCCAGCTTTAGGCAATTGTCTCCTTAAGAATTATAGTATTTATTCATTGGAGGATAATAAGACAAGGGAAGAAGTCAAATAATTTTGCCTATAATTTGTAGCTGTTTCATACAGAGCTATGCTTTACAGAGAAAAGAGCCTGCAGTTCAGCTATTATATAACGTCCCCTACTTTGCATAAGACATTGTGAATAATTTTTTTTACAAGATGCACTTTATTTATGAGCAGGTCCCTCCATAGAAAGAGCTTGTTAGGGCTTAATGCTGATGAATGGAGACAGCACCATTCACACTTCCAGGTTATGGTCTGTCAGTGGTTTCATTATATGCACTAATTTACAAGGATTTATTTATTTTCTCACAAATGTAAAAATGTGCTCCAAGCTAAACATGCTGTCTTGGCGTCTGAGCCTAATGTTTTACTTGATGGAGGTGGTGGTATGGGGACTCAAGCTGTCATGTGCCGTTCTTCCCACCTCCACCCCCACCTACCCTGCATCATTGCCTAACTTCGTGGTTATATGAGAGATCCATATTGTTTTGCTTGCTCTAAAAATGAATACTGGTGAGAATTTTAAACCCTGGATGTGGTTCTCTCAATGAAGTTTAATTCCTTTCTTATCCAAAATCTGTGCCTTCAATTGTGTAAGTGCTAATGAAAATGCTGTCCATAACACATCAATAGATGTGGCCATTGGAACAAATTATGGCCACAACATTGGGCACAAAATTTTGGAAAGCTGGGTACAATATCCCCCCAAAATAAAATTCAATAGAATCTGCAGGTTTTGCTAGCCCCAGATGGCTTCATGTGATCTCACATCACTCATATCACTAGCTTAAAATATACTGGACATGTACCACCTCCTCCTACTCAGACAGTAATAGATCATACTGTATCATCAACATCCCTTCACTATACCAGTACATCTTATGGGAAGAAAATCACCCCCCTCAAGTAATGGCAAAAATAATTATTTTTCCTGCCTGGAATTTTAAATTTGGTTTTTAACCTCAGTGAAAATTAAATACCCCTTAAACCTCACCAGTGATGAGTTTATAAAACTAGTTGTTTGGGGAGTGTGTGTGTGTGTGTGTGTGTGTGTGTGTGTTAGTTCATATGTTGGTTGATTGGTTGGTTGGTGAAGGAAATGAAAAATATATACATATAAAATATGCCCAGTACATTAATAAGCACCTATCACACAGTCTCTCAAAGCTCTTTTTACAATTTCTTTTTCAACTCCAAATGTAAGTGTAATTCAAATTTAATTAAAGAGTCTCAAGTAAAAAGGAGCATTTTAGAAATTGGACCACGATAAAAGAATTTGCTATACAACTATATGTAAAGAGAGTATCCTACAAACTGTCTGTCAAGTAAGCCCTGAAGGCCAATCGTGAGTATTTAATAAACATCATCTGTGGAACTCAACTGACAGGAACAGAGGGAGCAGTTCACCGTATTTAGAAGTTCACAAAAATGAAAAGTGGGGAACCATGTAAACTCTAGGATTATCATCTCTGAATCAATACAAACTTCACCCTGATAGGTTGACATGTATAATGATCAATTAACAGAGTTGTCCTTCTTGGTGTCCACATAACAATGTAGGACCTCCCCAAATATACTAGTTTCAATAGGAATCAATCTCTTTATATCTTTGTGAATCTGTTCCATTTTTTCAGGAGATTAGATTCTCTAAGTGTACTACCTCCCACTTAATAAGTATTATTCTTAGTTTTGTTTTCCACATATTTGGATTATTTGTTCTTTGGCCTTCACAACACTTGGCATAGTGACATTCAGTATGTGTTTGGTAATAATTCATAATTTCATGCACTTTAAGCCGTCTACTCTCAGCCTTTCTCTCTCCAGACTGGAGTCTTGATCTTTCAGTGCATCCTCTTATGACAGCCACAATTTACATTTCATACTCAGTGATATTTATATGGAGGTCACAGAAGGTGATCTCAAATTATAGGCCTGCCACAAGCCAGACAAAATTCTAGACATTCAAGAAATTGATTTTACCAAAACAAAAATAAAAAGTAGAGGTACTGCCTGGTCAGGGTGGCTCAGTGGTTGAGTGTCGAGCTATGAACCAGGAGGTCATGGTTTAATTCCCCATCAGGGCACATGCCCGGGTTGTGGGCTCAATCCCCTGTGTGGGGAGTGCAGGAGGCAGCCGATCAATGATTCTCTCTCATTACTGATGTTTCTATCTCTCTCTTCCTCTCTCTTCCTTTCTGAAATCAATAAAAATATATATTTTTTTAAACTAGAGGTACCTCCTTGGTTTATCCTCAGTCCAAGTGTTCTGGAGATAAAAGAAATATTCATGTGTCACCATCCTAGGACCTAGCCCAATCTTAATAGTCTTTTTACAAACCTCCTTAAAGGTCCTTATGTGTCTGAAAATCATAAAGGGATTTATTGGCATGAACTTCCCCTTGTTTGGACATGCTGGTTTCCTTGGAGAACTCACCAAAACATAAATGACTTTAGAGGCATTCTGGGAAAGTTAAAATGAATCTGTAGCTTTTATAGATGTTAAGGATTAATACTTCATGAGGAGCATCAGGATTAATCAAAGTACACCATAAAGCCAAGTCTTAATATTAAACTCCTGCCAACAAATTAGCTCATCTAAAAGCAGTTTATTAAGTTGGGTTTATAAACTGTCCTTAGATGAGTTCACTTGTTGCCAGGAAAAGTATTATGCCTGTATATATGTGTTAAAAGGACATGCTTCTTACCACAGTTGTTCCTAACTTATAACATACATTCTAAGATGGGAAAAGAAAACTGTAGACTAGTTTTAAAGAAATGCCGTGTGGTTATTTTCAAGAGCACTATCAAAAGCACTAAGGGAAGTAGGAGTTGAACCATATGTTCTTTATGTGTCAGACACCTTTTAAATGTATTATTTCATATGACACTTATAACAACCGAGGCTTGAGTAACCAACTCATCCCAGTTTATCTAGGACTGTCCCAGTTTTAAAACTGAACCCTGCCTCAGTCCCAGACAAACCATGACAGTTGGTCATCTTACCTAAGTAAGGCAGTTAAAGGTGTCCTAAAACCAATTTCCAGTGTGGAGGGGGTAGCAGTGGGTGGGTTTCCATATCACCAACAAGCAATTCTTGGACACCAGCTAGGTGTCCTACAATTTCACTCAATTCTGATACTATCTACCCGGAGATAGTGTCAGATGTCAGTCTCCAGTCCAGGTTGTCACTTGTGCTTGTGACTGGCTGGACTATAAATCAAAGGTTCCAACAACCCCCATTGTGTGCTCTATTAGTTTGCTCGAGTGACTCACAGAATTCAGAGCAACATTTTACTTACTGGATCACCAGTTTATTATTAAAAGATATAATACAGGAACACCCAGATGGAAGAGATGCATAAGGCAAGATATGGGGAAAGGGCAAGGAGCTCCCATGCCCTCTCAGAGTGAGCCACTCTCTCCAACTCACCACATGTTCACACAACCCATAAGCTCTCTGAACCATGTCTTTTGGGATTTTTGTGGAGGCTTCATTACATAGACACAACTGATTAAATCATTGGCCCTCATTCTCCAACCCTCGATAATCACAAGGTTGGCTCCACTGGCAACCAACCCATATTTAGGTGAGGCTAAAAATTAGCTCATTAGCATAACAAAAACGCCTTTATCTCTCACCACTTAGTCAATTCCAAGAGATTTAGGTGCTCTTTGTTAGAAATAGGAAAAAAAACAAATCACAATATCATAGGCAGGTAATCTTTTCCACATTTTACTAAAGAAGAGGCTGAAATTTGGAGAGACAAATTTCTCCATCAGTCACACATTGGTTATAAGTGGTGTATTCAGTATTAGAACCCTAGCTTTCTAACTGCTATTTTTATTTTATTTTCCAAGAAACCAGGCTGTAGTTAACACAGTATGTAAAAACTACTGTGAAAATTTTATTGGCTTTTATTTTTTTTCTAGAAGCTTAACCATTCCCTTTGTGACACCATAATTTTTCTCTCCAACCCTCTTCCCCCTTAATAGGTATTACAGAGAAAAACACTCAGTCCAGTTTATCAGGATTATTACAAACTCTTTGTTAACTGAGTGTGAATTGATGAAAAGAATGTTAATGCTTTCCAAGTCAGTTATTTCTAATTCAACTATGAAAATAAGCAAGTAGCCTATACATCTGTACCCCAAAAGAAATGTAATACATACTGCCTCCTGTGTCTTTTTGTATTTATCTTAAAGAAGGTTTTTTGTTTGTTTGTTTGTTTGTTTGGGGGGGGTAGTAAGCAAGTGTCAAGGGGGTGGAAATGTAAAACTGGACAACACGAAATTGTTAGATCTGGCTTTATCTCCACATGTTACATTTTGTCATTTCTTCTCAATACACAAAGAAGCGAATGTGTGCCCGAACAGACCCCTCCCATTACTGTCCTGGCCGTGCTGAGCAAAATTGAATCCATATGTCTTTAAAATGCTTTTCCATTTCTACAGCTTCTTTTAAATTCCTGATCTTGGTGCAAATGTGGCCCGCTAGCCTCCTAATGCTCATTTGCTCTTTCCCAACAGGCATCACAGTTGATAGGCATGGATTCATTTACTTTGTGGATGGGACTATGATTCGGAAAATTGATGAGAATGCTGTGATCTCCACTGTAATCGGCTCAAATGGTCTGACTTCCACACAGCCACTGAGCTGTGACTCAGGAATGGACATCACTCAGGTAGGCGCCACTGGTTTTTAAGTGTTATCACCATTTGGCATCATGGAAATGAATAACCATTTTCTCATACAGAAATTAGGTAGAAAGGAAGCCTGGGGTATCTGTTATAACATCAGACAACAGAAGTTTTGCCTTATGTAAGTTACTTTTTCTGCTCAGAAAAACTCAGTTGGGAGAAAATGACAAGCTAGGATGGGAGTAAGGCTAGATGGAATGTCAGCATAAGAATTAACATCTCTCAAATTTGAATCAATTAGAGGGTAAGGCCAATCTCATTTATTAAATATTTTCCTAGATATATAACTTTATTATTTTTAAATAACATAGTATCTCACATTTGGGAAAGTATTGACTACTGAAGTCTTTAGACATCTCTTTAAATGAATATATGAGCATGACTTGTTATTTATGTGCTTGTAAATAGCTATATCTAGGGCATTTGAAATTTCTCTTAAGTAAAAACAACATTCCCTCCAAGATCTATTTTACGTATATTTAGGAAAGCTTTATGCCAGTGAGAATAAATAAGCAAATTCAGTGTTGCTCTCATCTGAGTCCAAAATTCTGATTTTACCACAATTGTACAAAGTCAGGATTAAACATGTGGAGAGATTATAGAGCATACAGCACAGACCTAACTGCCTGAGAATAAACTTCTCAGTCTTCAGACACAAGAGGTTGGTATTTAAAATGAGGGAAATATCCCTACCGGCACAGCTCAGTGGTTGAGCATTGAGAGGTCACAGTTCGATTCCCAGTCAGAGTACATGCCTGGGTTGCAGGCTCAATCCCCAGTGTGGGGCGTGCAGGAGGCAGCCAATCAACGATTCTCTCTCATCACTGATAGTTCTATCTCTCCCTTTTCCTTCCTCTGTGAAATCAATAAAAATACATAAAAATGTTTAAAAAATAAATTAAGTAAAATTAAAGAAATAGACCAGTCATCCTCAGAGGGCCCTTTAAACTCCAATTTTCCGTAAATCTATGACTTTGATGAAGTAGATTATTAGATAATCTTTTCAAATGAATTAGAGTAGAAATTGAGAGTTTTAAAATTGGTTAGTGTATCAGAGTGGATGGTTTTGATGACAAATAATAAAGCACCTATCTAAAAGTAGTTTAAACAATAAGGTTTAATTATCCCACATAGTGAGATGACCACAGGTAGGCGAAGATGCCAGCAGATTTTCTTCATGTGTCACAGTGGACTTACCCATGCCATCACCAGTCACTGGCAAAGAGGAAATGAGATCTCCAAAATGGATTCAGACCCTCTGGCACTGGGTCTCTGTCCCTGAGCACATTGCTACCTAATTCTTGAACCAAAATCAGGGCTTTATTAGCAAGGAAAGGATTGCTGTTGGGTAGGCAGCCGGTGATATCCTCCACAATTAGGATATTCCTGTTGCTTCATTATTCATGCCACCTGAAACCTAACATAACAAGGAAAAGAAAGTGATCACCCAGAAACCTTGCTTTAGTCATTAGCTCTAATATTCTCGCCCATATCCATCCGCCATACATACACAAAGCTATTAAACACCAGAGATGTGTCTATTTGGGGGTTTCTTCTCTATATACCTCTGCCTTACCCCAGAAACTCAGAAAATAGTCAAATAGAGTCAACTATAAAAATAAAATGGGAATTGGGAGGCTTGGGAAACACAATGAATGAACCATTCCTATTGAGGGATTTGTGTGGATCAGGCTATCAAGTCCCAAAGTAGCCGAAATTTCTATGATGCAAAATCCTGAATAAGGCAAGGAAAAGGAACATGATTTATGGCAGTAAGGAAGGGTGTGAATGTGTTTATGTGGAGGATGATACACATATATGATTCACTTGTGGGATATTTTTAACTTAAAATAGCACGCTTAGAATTGCAACCAGTCAACTCTAAACAGCTTATCTGTTTCTGTGTAGAAAAGTTATGCTGAACAGAGAATTCTTCATCTAAATAGAGCAAATATATGATCCTCATCGCCATGAGAAGGGTTATTTTTCACATGACACTTTGCAAGCCATCATTGCCACCATAAAAGTGACCGTGTCTCTTTCAGTTTGGGATGTAGAGTGCAGCCCATTGAAAAAGGACCCTGGAAAAACCATCATTCCTTATCCTATGCTTAAAGCACCATAAGAGTGACTAGAATTTTTCCTGTTGGGATTTCAGAGAACAAGGTGTCCATACTGATCGCTACCTCAGTGTCCAGATTATGACCCCCACCTTTATCAGGGGCTTGCTTCTCACAGCTCCATTCACTCAGTCCATAATTACCTCTCTTGGTCCAAATCCCACTCCCCACCCTTGTCACACCTCAGATGTTCCATGGGAACCTTCCTTGATGGTTCTAGTCCTCATTGTTGTCTCATTCCCTTACTGAAATTTAGTATCACCACATTTAACATGTAATCTGTTCTCTATTACCTAACTGTGTGTCCAACTAATCTCCCATAGTAGGCTGCATTTTCTTTGAACATGCATATAAGTGCTCACCAGGCACAGTTAACATATATACCAATACCAAAAGGACACTATGGTACAAAGAATATGGAGCAGTAGTGAGAGATAAAGCTAGTGAGCTAAGGGGAAGCATATGATGAAGGACCCTAAAAGCATGATTGAGTTTCAGTTTTATCCAGTGGACAATGGGGAACAAATAATAGCATTAGTCAAAGAAATGCATTTTTAAAATAGTATTAAGCATGGAAATGCCTTTTTCAAAAATCATTCTAACTGTAGTAGAGAGAATGAGGTGGGGAAAAAAACAGTGTTAGAGGCAAGGAGATCACTGAAGAGTCAATTGAAGTAATATAGGTGTGACAGAAACAAAACATATCTATATTAATAAAAGAGAAAGATGCAAATTGTCCCTCCACATGCCCACAAGCCATGCCCACCAGCCCATCAGGAGTGAGTATGTAAATTGACCTGACAAAGATGGCGAGTTAATTTGCATGCACAGGTGTCAAGCACCCCAGGAGGCAATGGTGGTCACGGGCTCCCGAGGCCTTCGCCTGCCCCAGGAGGCGAAGCCGGCCGTGCCTAGCCATGCCTGCAAGCTCCCAGGACCTTTGCCGGTGGAGAGCAGAGCAGGAGAGCGGGCAGAGAGTGGGAGGTTTGGAAGACTTGGCAAAGCAGGAGGTCACTAGACATAGAGCAGAGCGAGAGAGAGGGCAGCTTGGAGGGACTATGTCTAAAGAACAACTGTTGATACAACCTAGCTCTGCAGCCAAAAGACGCTGGTGTTAGCAACAGAAAATGTCTGAAGAGCAATGTGTGTCTGATCTTGAAAGAAAGCGGTGCCTGCGACAGAATGTATCTGAAGACCAGCTATTGGAGAAACGTTGCTCTGATGCCAAAAAACACCTGCGTCATGGACAGAAAATGTCTAAAGACCAACATGCCTTTGAAGTTGAAAAAAGGCGGTGGCGACGATAGAATCTGTCTAGAGAACAGTCATCAACAAGTACTACCAGTTCTGGTAGGAACTGCCTTCTTAGCAAAAATGGAGTACATGAGGATGCAATTCTCGAACATAGGTGTGGTGGAATGACTGTTCAATGTGAATTTTGCCTATCACTAAATTTCTCTGATGAAAAACTATCTGAAGGGAAATTTACTCGATGTTGTAGCAAAGGGAAAGTCTGTCCAAATGATATACATTTTCCAGATTACCCGGCGTATTTTAAAAGATTAATGGCAAACAAAGATTCTGACAGTAAAAATTTCATGGAAAATATTTGTTCCATAAATAGTTCTTTTGCTTCCATGGGTGCAAATATTGCATCACCATCAGGATATGGGCCATACTGTTTTAGAATACATGGACAAGTTCATGACTGTACTGGAACTTTACATCCTTTGGATGAAGTTTCTTGGAAGTTTGCTCAACTCTATACTTTGGATACAGCTGAAACTACAAGTAAAATATTAGCAATGCCAGAAAACCAGGGCTGCTCAGAAAGACTCATGATCAACATCAACAACCTGAAATAAATGAATTAACAAAATTGTACAAGATGCTATATGAGGTAGAAAAGGAAGCCCAATCTGAAGCAGCAGCAAAAGGTATTGCTCCCACAGAGGTAACAATGGCGATTAAATACGATCGCAACAGTGACCCACGTAGATATAATTCTCCCCGTGTAATGGAGGTTGCTGTCATATTCAGAAAAGAAGATGGAGAACCTCCTATCGAAAGGGACTTGCTCATTCATTGTA